GGATCGGTTTGGTTTGATTTGGTTTTTAAAAAAAATCGATCCATATATGAGGAAAAAGTGGATAACTGCACCACACCGAACCGATCTAATTTAAAAAAATTGATCCATATTTTAAAAAAATCAAACCGATCCACTTTATAAAAAATGGATTGGTTAACCAATTCACTTTTATAAAATAGTTCGGTTCAGTTTGAATTTTTTTAAAAATCGTTCCATAAACACTACTAGGGAGGTGGTATGGTAACTTTAAGAATCCTATTCATATAATCTGTTGGCTTTATTTCCCTTCGAGTATTTTAAATTAAATTGTGATGGTGTAATGAGTTTGATTGGTTGGAATATTGCTGCTGATGGAGTGTTCCGTGATTAGAGGAGAGTAATTCAGTTTTCGTTTGCTGCAAATATTGGATTCTCTTCTGTCCTGCATCTTGAGTTATGGGTTATTTATATAGGAATTGACATTATTGTGAGGAGTAAAGGTTTTTGAAAGTTCATCATGGAGTCAGATTCCTTGAATGTAGTTTCTTTACGTATCAAAGGGTGTTTTTCTTTCCATTCTTGTTCTAATTTGATTCATGGCATAATTTGTTCAAGGTGGTTACGAGTGATTTAATTCGTTCAAAGAGTCAGATTCCTTGAATGTAGTTTCTTTACAGATAGATTTGTGAGTTATGATTTATCTATTAGGGAACGTTTATGGTTTCTAAGAATTACAAATACTAAAAATTATGATTATTAAAAATATGTTTGATTATTTAATATAAAATTTTTTATAAAAATATTTTTTATTAAAATATATTTATTAGATATATTTATTTACTCAAATTTTATTATAAATATGATATTAAAGTATTTTTAAAATTTTGAAAATTTATAGTCAAGATTATTTAAATACAAAATTTAATAAAAAAATAATAAAAATGTTACATAATAATTAAGAAGGATAAAAACATATATTTCATTTCATTCAAGTAAATAAATAAATAAATAAATTTAATAAATATCATTAAACTATCGAAACAAAATATTAATAATATTATTAAAATTGACAAGATAAAAAAAATAATGAAATACAAGAAAGAAAAAGAGAAATGATTATATGAGAGGGAGAGGGAGAGGGAGTGAGAATGAGAGTGAGAGAGAGATGGAGAAAGAGAAATAGAAGGAGAAACAAAGAAAGAAAGAGAGAGGTAGAGATGGAGAGAGAGAGGGGAAAAGAGGGAGAAAGATAAATAGAAATAGAAGGGAGTAGAAAGAGAGAGAGAACGAGAGAGAGAGAGAGAGAGAGAGAGAGAGAGAGAGAGAGAGAGAGAGAGAGAGAGAGAAAGGGAGACAGAGAGATAAAACACTACAATAAATGAGCTAAATATTGGAGGTTATTTTTAGTTTAGTGGAGGTTTTTATCCTCCGCAAAATAAATCGCAGAGATTTCTAAAAATCTCTGTAGTTACATTTGTTGCAAGCAATTAGCAGCGTTTTTTAGAAACCTCTGGTATTGTGAGTATTTAGTGGCGGTTCTGTTAAAAGAGGTTTTAAAGCTATGCTAATTGCATAGGTTTCTTTACTGGAGGCTTTGAAGTGGAATAACAGTAAAGATTATTTAGTAGAGGTTTTAAAGTAAATTAACTATTACAATCTGATAGCAAAACTATGAGAAGTGAATGGAGGTTCTTCTCCACGGTTTTGCTTAGGCCGGATCTTCTTCAATAGAGACTTGATTCTTCAACTCAAGAACACTTGCAAGCTAGAGAACTCACGGATGAACTCAACCTAAAACTAGGACGGAAGCATCCGAGCTCAAGCATCAATGGAGAGCACACTTCAAAGAGAAGGAATCTAGGTGAATTCCTAAGGTTTTTGAAGATGAACTCAAGAGAGACTTTGAGAGAGAAACTCGACACTATGGCTCACAAATTTCATAAATGATTCAAAGTGAGTACAAAATGTGTTAGGAGGAAACATATAGGTCACCGAAAATGAGGAGACACTTGGCGCCACATGAGAGGTCACATGTTGGTGCCAAGATTTGAATTCAAATTCAAATTTGAATTCAAACCTTGTGTCACATGTGCATAACCGGTCATGTGGAGCTAAATGCAAATTAGATTGAATTTAGTATATATTTAGGGTTGCATTTCGGTGTCACACTTGTGCAGCCAAGGTGGTGCCAAAAGTGTGACCTAAATGCAACTTAAATCCATCCTAAATTTAACCTAATTTGTCCTAATTCAAATGAACTACTAATCCTCCTTAAACCCTAATCTAATGGCCAAAATACAATGGTCTAAGGAATACAATGAAAAGGAAATAATACAAGAAGAAGAATGAGCCTAATATTGGGTATCAAAAGCCCAAAGCCTAAGAAGCCCAAATATAAGCCCAAGAGCATTAAACCTAGTTTATGGTCAAAATACAAGACCAAAATCAAAGTAAATTCCTATACTAATAAGATACAACAAATCATGGTGTTTATTCAAGTAAGGTCCATATGAAAAACACCCTAGGCCCACCAAGCCCATTGGGCCCACTAATCTCTGAAGCAGTCAAATCTTCAAGTAGTCTCCTGGCCATAGCTCTAGTGGTTGGGCCTTTAGCCCATGCTCTTCCATCACAATCATTAATCAATATATTTTTGTGGAGTTTATAATCCTCCCTATTTTCCTGTGTATAATAATTTTTATACTCATTTTAATTGCATAATTTACATGTATTACAATTTCCCATTTTCACTTTTGATATTTATAAGAAACTTAATAAAAAAAATACACATAAAATGGATGAAGAAATTCCATTGCTAATAACCAAAATACCAACATATAGTTCAAAGATTTACAATTCAAACTTCTATTATAAATCCAAGTACAACATAAAATCCATAACATTGTCAAATTAGCCTTATACTAAACTTTAAAACCAAAATACATTATAAGCAATCTAAGGGTTGCTAGCACTAGATGATCCTTTTGCATCTAAAGGTGTATTAGGAACACTTGAAGCATAGTTTGGCTGAAATAATAAAAGAAAAAAAACTTAGTTAAGAAAAATATATATCACATATATTATATCATAATGACAATTCCAAACACCCATGACCAAATCAATTAAGGACCGAAACAAACCAGCTAGTTAATGCAACCAATAACATAACCCACCCACAGTCAAAACTAGAACTACGAATCAAGAGCTCCATCAAGCCAAAACCATAATAGCAACACCAAACCAAAGATGTGTAGAAGCCAACTAGTTCCTAAACCAACAGCCAGGGACTAAGATTAGTCCACTCAGATCCTGGACAACCAAAACTAGAACTAAACTAACAAAACATCCAACAAACCAAAACTTGTAGTAGAAATCATGTTGCAAACCATGCAGCCAAAGATTATGAAACAACAAAACAACTACCCAAACCAAAAATTGTAGTAGAAATCATGTTACAAACAATGCAACTAAAGACCATGAACCAACAAAATAACCATTTTAACCAGAAACTATACAATAGAAATCATGTTGTAAACCATGCAACCAAAGAGTATGAACCAACAAAACAACCACCCGTACCAGAAATTGCAACAGAAATCATGCTACAAACCATGTAGCCAAATACTAAAATGTGTGTGTGTATCGCTAGTTTTGGCATAAAGATACCACACATACTATATAATGATGTAGGCACATTAATTACTTACATGTGTTTCAGAAGTGAAATAACTAGCTAATTCTTCATGGATCCTTCCTTCCTTCATTATCATGAAGGCCTTAAAAGCTGATTCTAAATTGTTTTATTTCTCTTGCCATTGGTTTGAAGATGGAAAGGCAACACCAGATGAAGAAGAGCTCAAGTTATAAACACGAAGTCTTGTATTCCTAAACGTATTAGAAGGAACATCACCCAATCCCATGCACCGTACTCTCCTAGAGTGCTCTGGCCCTAACACTCTACCGACAACATCTAGAAGAGAAACTTCAGATTCATCAACTATGCTTTGAGTCAAACTTACTTCAATTTGTTCCTACAAACATGTAATAAAATCAAATATAAAAGTTTTAAGATTAAACACAATCCTTGAAATCAATGTTCTAAGGAAAAATTTACCACTATAGTCTTTGCTTCATCATTTACAAATGATCCATCTTTCCTTTTATGAGTTTCAATATACAATTGTCCACGACTTGGTACCTTCCCAGTTTCTAACAACTAAGATAAATAAAGAGTGAGTAAATATTGAAAATTTTTAAATAGTAAAAGTTAACATTTAGTATCATTACCAACTCTTTTCTTCTTATAGGATTAGCTTTGGAGCCATCGGTGTGTGGAATAACTTGCTTGCTTCAAATTTCTTTATTTCTCCAACAAAGTTCCTATAGGAAAAGCAATGAAAACTTTACAACTTCCCATAGTAATCATATAATTAGCCAAAAAATAAAATTAATATTTAAAACAATCAAATTTGTACCAATGTTGATGGTTTCTGACGATAATGAACAAAACAAGCTCACTGATCTTTATCTATGCCTATTGGCACATTTCTTATGATTTCATCTCTTGTTTTGGTTGGATCATTAAATTCATTCCACAAGCTTTTCCTATTTGCAACCCATTTCCTTCCCATACTCATTTTGCAATACCTTTTTGCACTAGCTTCATTAATCTTAAAATAAAATCGAGGCAAAAAAAAGTAAAAATTTGTCAATATCATATCAAATTTAAACTTGCATAAGCAAAATAATAGACATATTTATGCAAAAAAGTAAAGATAGGAAAATTATAAGCAATGTAGACATAAAAAATTATATATATGACTAATTATCATACCTTTAAAATTGTTTCAAAGCAATCATCAAAATAAGCTTTAGGTACGCTTGAAGGTCCAGACCACCTATCATAATCCATAGGAAATAATTTGCAATCAGCTGCCAATGTTCCGAGAAATCCAGCAAGTAAGGCTTGTGCTTTACCAATTGCTTGGCCTTGGTCATCAAAATCCACAATGATGCGTAACTCCCTAGGTAAGCTATTGACTCCCCTAACTTTCACCTTAATCTTCTTAATAGTTTCTTCAGAGTCTTTAACAATAAAAAACTTAATAATAAGAAAATTTGGTATAGTTTATATTATCAAGTTATAAATGAAAATACAATACTTATATACCTATTGCCTCAACAGTCCAACATTGTGTAGACTCACGCCCAACATGAAGTCTAGTAGTTTCATCTTCTTGTGGAACATCAGAAGTTAATACATGAGAAAGTGGGACATTAATAGTTGGGACTTCAGGATCATGTGAGGAATCGATTGGTGGGGAATTAATTTCAGGATTCATTGCTGGAACATAAAGTGTTGGAGCTTGTGTTAAAGGTGCATCACATTGTAATTGAGGTGCTGATTTTTGTGGATTTCTAAAATGCTTTACCTTTGGCATGATTGCACATTAAGAGAAAAATAAATAGAGAACTATGAAATTAAACATTATATACTATCAAAATTAAAACAAGTTTAAAATAATTAATTAATGAAATAATTACAACATTTACAAGTCAAAATTATTACCTTTAAGGAAGTGCAAAAGTAAATAAATATAGCCAAACAAGTGTGAATTTCTTGCTATTTTAGGAGTCAAACTTCAATCAACTATATTATCATTTAGATGGTTTGTAGCCAATTGTACATACTGATCATCGAGCCTATAAAATTGTTCAAGCTCTTGCTCTTTGTATGGCTCATTTTCATATGCATTTTCTTCTACTTCTTCTCCCATGTCATATAAATCTCTTGGCTTTATATGTACAACAACACTCCATCCTTCATTGACTACATCATCTACATAGTACACCATTTGTGCTTGAGATGCTTCAATGTACGGTTCATGCTCTACACGATCACCAACATGAATTAATCTATCAAAGTTAACACAATTAAAATTCCAGCAGTCCTTTTTATACCTCTATCTTGTGTGGTATCAACCCATTTACATTTGAAAAGGATAACACTGAATCGACCATAGTAGTTAATCTCAATGATATCTTCCAACTTCTCATAATATGGCAAGTCTGCTTGCCTTAAGTTGCCATCAACACTACTTGAAACACATGATGTGTTAGATGTTAAAAAAAACACCACTATTTTGTGTTTTTAGTCCCTCTTCTCGAGCCAAGGTTTGAAATTTGAACCCATTAATGTTATATGCAGTAAATCTTCTTGCATTATCCAAAGGTCCTCGTGCTAGAAACTTTAGATCAGTAGACATTTCACTCATTGTGTCTGGATTCATAATCTAAAAAAAATTGAAAGTCAAAGTTTAAGACAAATATGGTAAAAAGTTAAAAATCTCTAACCACTAAATGACTACTCACCCGCTTTCTAAACCAATCAACAAACTCTTTATTGACTTTTTTCCCTATCTCCGTAGATGAAGGTCTTCTTCCTGTTGAACTCCTTTTTATGAATTGTCTAAATTCACTACATAAGTAATTATTATAATCAATGCACATGGCTATTATATTTTAAGTAGACTTATAATAAAAATTTGTCTCATTTTACTTACTCTACAAATGGTGTGACCATTGTGCAATTGAGGAGCACATACCGATGAGCTTGCAATTTTGGCATTGGAGTTAAACTGAACATTGAGCAAGCTCCGACTGCTTTACCAATTTTTCGAAAGATAGAGGACACAAAAGAAGTCTCATTATCAATTGGATCATCACAAATACGTTTAGGTTTATTGAACCTTGTCTCAATATCTTGCGAGAACAAAAGGTAAGAGACTCTTCAGCTAAATACCCCTCAGCTATGGATCCTTCAGGTTGTGCCTTGTTCCGCACAAAAGATTTTAAGTGACCTAATTCCCTATATAAATGATTAAAAATTAGATAGCATTAGTAAGATATTTGTAATATGACATCATAAATTTAAGTTATTAAAATGTTTACCTCTCCACTGGATAATATATCAATAATGCACTGGGCCTCCAAGTTTTGCTTCCTCTATAAGATGAACAGTTACATGAACCATAACTGTGAAAAATGATGAAGGGAATAACATTTCTAAGTGACATAGTGTAACCATAATGTGATCTTAGAGCAATTGAAGTTCTAGAAGATATAAGATTTTACCACAAAGTATTCTAAAAAAAGAACAAAACTCCACTAAGATAGATGTCACATGGTTTGGCAACAAGTTACGAATCGCTAGTGGTAGCAATTGTTCCATAATAATATGGCAATCATGACTTTTCAATCCAAATATTTTGTTAAGTTTCTCATCAATACATCTAGAAATGTTACTTGAGTAACCATCTGGTACTGTAATAGTTTTCAAAGTTTTCAAAAATAACTTTTTGGTATCACGTGTCAGTGAAAACAAACCAAGGTGATATCTTCCATTATCATTTGGCCAAAGATCATGCCTTAAGCCCATTTCTTTTAAATCTTTTTGAGCATTAAGGTTGTCTTTTGATTTATCCTTCTCATGGAGCAATGTATACATGACATTGTCACATACATTTTTCTCAATATGCATAAAATCTAGATTATGTCGCAACAAATTAGACTCCCAATAAGGAAGTTCAAAGAATATGCTTTTGTTATTCCACTGTGTGGGTTCTTGTCTAGATCTTTTTATTGTTCCATTTTGAATGGCTCCACTTCCAAATGTAATATTAATATGTTCCACTTGTCGAAAAATGTCAGATCCAATAATTTGAATGGTGGGTTTCCTTCTTCTATGTTTCATCAAAACGAACACGATTCAATCTAAATTTATGATTTCTACTTAGAAAATGACGGTGGCCCATAAAACACCACTTTTTACAATTTTGAAGGCGACAAGGTTCCGCATCAAAATTGCAAGTCAGGCAAGCCAATCTGGTGTGTGTGTTCCAACCAGATAACATGCCTAAGCCAGGAAAGTCACTAATCGTCCACATAAGAGTTGCTCGCATTCTAAAATTTTGATTCAATGATGTGTCATAGGTGTCCACACCATTCCATAACTCTTGTAACTCCTCTATAAGGGGCTTTAGGTACACATCTATGTTATTTTCAGGACCTTGTTTGCCCGGAATGATCATTGATATGATGAACGAAGTGTGGTTCATACATATCCAAGGTGGAAGATTATATGGAATTAAAAACATTGGCCAAATGCTATAGGAAGAACTCAAGGTCCTAACAGGATTAAAACCATCAGTCGCAAGGCCTAAGCCAACATTTCGAGGATCTGGAGAAAACTCAAGATGGATTAAATCAAATGTCTTCTAGGCCTCTCCATCTCTTGGATGCCTTATCAACCCATCTTTATTATTTTCCAAAACATGCCATCTCATATCTTTTGCAGTCTTAGAACATGTGAACAATCTTTGCAATCTTGGTTTCAATGGAAAGTAACGTAAAACCTTTGCAGCTATTTTTTTCTTCTTGGGTTTCCATCTATATGTACCACAATGCTTACAAGCATCTAGACTTTTTTCATCATCTCCCAAATACAACATGCAATGTTTTGGACAAGCATCAATCTTTTTATAGTTAAGACCAAGATTGTTAATAATTTTCTTGGCCTCATAAACAGAAGGAGGAAATTATGCTTCTTCAAATGCATCTTTCAACAAATCCAATATCATAGTCATTGCCTTGTCACTTAATCCACACAAAACTTTTATATGATATAATTTGATTATAAATTCCAGTTTTGTGTATTTGCTTCCTTCGTACAATGTTTGACTCCCATCATGTAGCAGCTCATAAAAGCCATTATAATCCTCCCTTGGCTCATTATTTAATATTTTATTTTCATTTAATGGTCGTGATGCACCTGTATTATAGGCATGTTGCCTATATTGCTCAAATACCTTGACTCTTAGATTCTCGGCATCCTACCCTCCACCGTTCTTTGAAGTGGGTCGACGACGCAACAAACTTGAATCCCTGAAAACAAAAAATCAATTTCTCCAAAATCCCATCAAAGCCAAAACTTAATAATCACCTCTAATGACGAAACCCCCATGAAACCATAACGTCTAAATCAAAAATCAAAACCACAATTAATAAAAAAAAATATAAGCTAAGCAGAAAAGGTGGAAATATGTGCGTATAGAGCGTTGCGGCAATGGGAAGCACGTATGACAATTGGTAGAAGCTAGGGACCAAAATCAACGAGTTTAAGGGTTTCCAATGATACGACGATTGGTAGAAGCTTAGGATTGGTGGGGTTTTCTGATTTCTCTACGCTTTGATTCAATTGAAGGAGAAACTCATATGACTTCATCTTTCAAAGGGACCATGCCCATGAATGGAAGGCAAATGCCAATGGCGATATGGCCTGAGCTATCTACGCAAGAATCGTTTGAGAAAGAAACAAATGTTCTTCACTACACGAATGCCACTCGAACGTCGAATTGTGTTTAGGGTTTTCTCACTTCTTTGACAAAAGGGAATTCTAATTTTTTGATAAGAGGGAGGCACGCGCGGGTAGTTTAAGCACAAAAAATATTTTATTTTAGAGAAAAATGGGATTTAAGCGGAAAAATATTATTTAATTAGAAGAGGTTATAAACCTTCATAAATAAAATAAAAAAAATTGCAGTGTTTGCACCTAATTTAATAACTTCAGGAGATTTTTAAAACCTTCGCAAAATAACCTCTATTATTTAACATTTTTTTGTAGTGGAAATAGAAGGGGAGAGAGAGAGGGGGAGGTAGATGGAGAAAGAGAAAGAGAGAGAGGGAAAGAAAGAGGGAATCCAGAGGATGAGGTTCTGCTTAAGTTTCAACTCCTGCTTATCCAGGTAAGGGGGGAGTGAGAAACCTCGCTCGGGGGTGTGGGGATAATTGTAGGATAGTTTGATTGTCGGATTGGCCCCCAATCCCTTGCCTGTTGTTCTGTGGGAGAGAGAAATTTTTTATTTTAAAAAATGATATTGTGATCTTTTGATATGCATTAAACTTTTCCATAGTTCATCAATATAAGTGAGTTCATCCATATCACCAATAATTTAATGACTAGATTACTAAAATTAAATATATATCATAAGTTAACTTGTTAAGCAATCATGATTTTTACATTAACTATATTTTGATAATAAATATTTTTAATTAATGTATTTTTCTTGATTTAATGAGTAGTTGGTAGAATAAAAATATCATCAATGTTAAGAATACTTGTTTGAAAAAATTATTATAAGTTTATGAAAAATTTAATAATCAAATTAACTAAGTCGTACATCCTAATGAAGTATGTAATTGAATGTTATAAATGTAACAGGAAAATATAACAAAGACATGATCCATAAACAGAGAAAATTTGAAGTTCACCTTAATTACAGTGCACAAAGGGCAATGTTAGGCCCAATTCAAGCTGTCCAGTTTGATGGATTGGCCCATCGTATTCTTTATTCACCGACCATTGTAGTTCAATTCCGCCACAAAATATGAGGACCGTTTCATAAAAATGAAATACAATCCGTGCAAGTTAAACTTAACTGAAAAATACAATTTAAACTAATTAGGAAACGTTTGAATATAAAAAATTAAAAATAAAATATGCTTCCTTATAAATTATTATCGTCAATCTAATGGTAAGAATTGAGACAAGTTATAAGTTCCAACTCTTTGAATTGTTGTCATCATTATATGAAAAGATGAGTAAAAAGAATTGTTTTTTTCTCTTATTTTCTTAAAAATTTATGCATAAGTATTTTTTTTAAATTTAATCTTTTATAAATTAACTTATGTATAAACTAATTTCAACTTATAAACAAGTTATTTTTTCCTCTTAAAAACATTTATGAATAAAATATTCAAGCACGTCTTCAATATTACATGTTAATTAAAACTTTAACTTTATAATTGTTTATTTTTTGTTTGATAAGGAGATACCACCTATTCCTATTGGGTCAACCCCTATTATAAAGTGATATCTCTTATTACAATTCTACATTCAAGTAGAGATGTCAAACGAGTTCAATTCAATCTAACCTAAACAGGTCAAAATGTTATTTTAAATTAAGTTGATATAACTTGTATTTTTTGGGCTTTCATTTTTTGGTCTAACCTGACCAATAATTTTTATAACAATTAACCCTAAATCTAAGCTTGTAATCACAACTCTATCAATGAACACAAAAAAGTAAAAAAATTATTACTATTATATTTTGTTCTATTATTTTACAATACAATGCAAATTTACCGATTAACAATGATGGTAATTCAAATTATATCACTTATTGATTTAAAG